TATATATATATATATATATATATATATATATATATATATATATATAGTATATAAACAATAACAAAACAATAAGAGGGCTTAACTGGCAAAAAAATTTGCTTGGTAAAGTGCCCCCCCCAGTACCCCATATCCACTAAACTTATCATGGGTGACCCAAAGTCCAGGGCCAATGTTTAATCCCACTGCCCTGCATAATAGTTATAGCTATATTGTCAATTGCTAAAAAAACATCACTGTTTTTTGGAGGTTGGCCCAATATAATATTTTTTTAGATCAGAAGTGTCAAGTCTCAAGGGCTCTACCCACACGCAGGCTGCATCGTCCAAATTAAAAAGAAAATAGATTCATAAGAGGAGACTGAGGCTCAGGGTGAATCATAGTGTGAAGTGAAAGAAAATTTTACTTGGGGCACGTTGAGATAGTGAAGTTTCTGGGTTGCTTCATAAACACACTGCGCTTTATTAAAGTACATGGCAGCAGGAGTAAAGCTTCTGCCAAAAAAGCACACAAAACTTTATTGTGGTTCATGTGTTGCTCATGCAATCCAAACATATAACCTGACAAAATTTAAGCATAGGAATGGTCATGTTAGGTGTAGTATTGGTCCACGTTAATGTGGGATTTGGTAGCAAACCAGTTCGTCCTTCTGAACATTTTTGCATGTACTGCGCAATAACTACCTGACACACTAAGATCAAATTAACCTTGACATGCAAAATACAACTTCTTGCTGCTAGTTTAAAGGGAGTCGTAGCCAGTGGAATTATTGCCAGGGGTTGTGAGACGCAGATACCTGCAAATGATTTTCTGTCTCTAGAATAAAACTTTCAGGACGAAAGAGAAAATAAAAACCCTACTGTCATGGCTCCCTAAGAATGTTTTCATGGGTTTAGGTAACAGAGAAGCTTCCAGAAATCAGATGCTAAAAACAATGATACTTCAGTGGATGGCATGTAAAGACAATCTTGGTAACACTTTCTATAAATGCCATGCCTATAAGATTCTACAGAACACATACATAACACATTATAATGCATTTGTAAAGCATTAAAAACTTGGCTTTAAATACAGTGCCTTGAAAAAGTATTCATACCCCTTGAATTTTTTTTTATATTTTATCACCTTACAACCACAAACTTAAATGTTTTTTTATTGAGATTTTATGTGCTAGACCAACCAAAAGAAGCACATGATTGTGAAGTGGAGCGAAAAAGATACATGGTTTTCAAAAATGCAAGCTAAGAAAAATGCATTTGTATTCAGCCCCCTGTATTCTGATACCCCTTAATAAAATCCAGTGCAATCAATTGCCTTCAGAAGTCACCTAATTAGATAAGAGTCCACCTGTGTGTAATTTAGTCTCATTATAAATACACCTGTTCTGTGAAGGCCTCAGTGGTTTTTTAGAGAACAGTAATGAACCAACAATATCATGAAGATCAAGGAACTCACCAGACAGGTAAAGTTGTGCCGAAATTTAAAGCAGGGTGAGGTTATAAAAAAATATCCCAAGGTTTGAACATCTCAAGGAGCACTGTTCAATCCTTCATCCAAAAATGGAAAAAGTGTGCTACAACTGCAAACCTACCAAGACATGGCCATCCACCTAAACTGACAGACCGAGCAAGGAGAGCGCTGGTCAGAGAAGCTGCCAAGAGGTCCATGGTCACTCTGGAGGAGCTGCAGAAATCCACAGCTCGGGTGGGAGAACCTGTCCACAGGACAACAATAAGTTGTGTACTCCACAAATCTGGCCTATATGGAAGAGTGGCAAGAAGAAAGCCATTGTTGAAGGAAAGACATAAGAA